TTTTTCAGTGTAGAGAACGAATAACGTCTCTGTCGGATCGCCTAGCGACGCGAGACTCCGGAAATGTTCCGGCTAACGGACTTTCTTCGACGCGGGTTTTCATCGTTACGCTCCTCAGATTTAACAGCTCGTTCGCAATTGTTTGCTTGTCTCTCGTCGCGGCAGTAAGTCCTGGGATTTTTCAAAATGAAATACAAAGAGAGTGAGAGAGAGTGGGGGGAGGGGGGAGGGGAACATGGACTAAAGCAGGCGGGAGAGGGAGTGGGGACCGAAGAGACACTGCAAAAACTGAGCACACGGATTTTTACGAGCCACTCGCGAAACGGAAGTCGATAAAAGAAGAGCGGGCTGTTCCCTCCCCCCCGCCTGTACTGTAATTAATTATGAAACGTTCGGTGAGAAACGGGGACAAGCAGAGGGTTGGAGGAGGACGCCTAGGAGGTACGAGCGGCTATAAAAAATTCTCTATACGAGGCGCAGTCACCTCGTGGCCGTACTCGAGCGTGCATTCGCTCGGGCGCAGCGCTGTGACAGCGGGATTTTTCCGATCGTCCTATGTGAATAAGGGGAGAATTTATAGCAGCGGTAGTTAACTGGTATATACATATACATATAATATATATATACATATATATAGCGGCGACGTTAATGCTCTTGAATATAAGCGGAACGGTAAAGTTAATGCAGTCGATTAAAGCGGCGTTTTTCAGTCGTTTATGCGAATGATATAATGCCTGAGTAGAAAATAGCGGGACGTTAACAAACAAATATGTAATATATAAATATAATATATACAAATAATTTTTATTAATATTATTAAGTCGTAATCAATACGTTCGGCATTTTAGGGAAGAAAATTTCGAAAAGGGAGCATTTTAATTACGCGTGCAAATATTCGTGCATTCACAATCTACGGTCTCGAAGGGGTTCCATAGGAAACGCGAGATTTTGACAAGCACGGGAGCTATTTTGCCAGAGCCTGGGGTCACAATGCCGTATTGCCTCACTCGGCGTCGAAATAGACCGATTTTTGCAGTCGCGGGCGCCGAATGAAGCCTTTGATAACGGCCATTTCTGAAAGTGCTCCAGCATCTTTGCGAATTTCACCGTCGCCCGAAGAGAGATGAAAGGATTCCTATTCCCGTTACGGTATTGCGCGATACATCAAACGCAAAACAAATTTGTGCGCGCACAGGGGACGCATTGTGATATCATAAGGTATCATAAGCGACGCTCGTGGCCCTTCTCTCCTCCGGCGCTCTCGTCCGTTCATCTCATGAGATGTAATCCCGCCGGCAACGACATTTCCGGTATACGTAGTAATGCGAAAAGACATTTCCACGGTGGCGATTCAATTCTCAACACGGAGACAGTATAGACGCGCTCGTGGAAGAAAATATTATTTGACATCCGATACACTGCTTCGTCATAAACGGAGACGAAACATCCTCTCTCGCGAGAAATAGCTGAAATCTATAACTTAAATATGAAAAATAAAAATGTAACAGTTACCATTTACTTGCAGATTGTTACGGATTTACGATTTGTTCACACGATTTTAGGGTACGTTAGTTTTAAAAAGTAGGAGCATAGACTTGTCAATTTAGATACTTTATACTCCGAGATAATATTCTATCTTTCATAGGCCCGGTTTTTCATTTTCTGGTTAATTGTTGAGCAGCGGTTAGTCGATTCTCTGTCTCCTCCAGGATAATAACATAGAAAAAGATGGAGAGTCGACTTCTGGTTAACCAGAAAATGAAAAATCGGGCCGTAAGGGGATCACGTCGCCCGATAAAACAAGAAATTTTAATAAAAATTTATCATCTTTTTTAGGTGACATTTATCTTATCATATATCTTTCATTAATTTTAATTTCTCTACGGCAAAAAGTTTCATTGCAAAAGAATACTGCAGTAAGATCGCAATCAAATGTCCAATAACAGCCACGTTAAACGTATGGAGAGAAATTAATTTAACCAACCGAATCACAAGAGAGTGGATGTATCATATCGCAAATTGGTGAAATCAAAAAGTTGCTTTACGCTCTTTTACATGCGATGCACGGCTGATCACATCGTTTGATTAATCAAAAAACCCGATTCATCTCGACGCAGCTTTATCGATGCATTAACGGCGACACCATTTACGTTTTATTCGCGCATGCTCGGCAATTTACCGTATTTGTGGTCGTGAAAAAACTCGCAGTAAACAATCGATAAAATATGGTGGTCATTGGTCGCCATCGGATCTCCATGCGTTTAAATGAATGGAATTGAGAATTGCGAAATTCGTGCAAATTCGGACGTGCTATAAAATTATTGGGAGCTCAGTCGAGCTTTTCCAGCATTCCTTGGATTTTTATATTTTTCAGTAATTATTTTTTGAAGCGATATTCAACATTTTTATTCCTCGACGTCTGCAATTTAAAAAGATAATTACAGATACATTTTATACAATGTATGTAAGTGTAAATTGAGCTGACAAGTTTCTAAAATCTGTCTCAATTCCCCTTAATTTTAGATTTATTAATACATCGGCATTGAAACGCAGTAACTCAATGTAGTTTTCGGCATTTGCGAATATACCGGCAAAAGTCCTTTGGAAAAGCTTGTAATTTTGAGTGCAAGCCTCTTTACTAATTTCATTATTGCACCAACTATCTTCTCGGCGTTACAATGAATTTCGCCCGAAACGCGAATTATCCATCTAGGTGAAAAAAAATCATCCTGACGTCATAATTTATTTGTGCTGATTTATGACGAGTCGGTACAGGCGCCCGTTTTATTCACGACTCTCCCGTTCTCATTTAAACTATCCGTGCGCGCCTAATGAAATATAATTTGTCGTCGTCGGAGAGTTTCACGTCGGCCAGTTATAAATAACGGAAACGCTTTATCGCGGGGATATTAAATCATTGCGCACTCTCGCTTTCCCTCCCTCGCGCCTCCATCTTGCGAGCAGCATTTTGTCGCGCGGTAATTTGCCGTAATAACGACGAATTTCCCGAATTTTTCGGCGCTGGCGAACTGATCTCAATGGAATTCCCCTTTTATTTTTTCCACCCCCACTCGTAACGCCGGGTTTTAATCTTGCCCGCCGCGCTGCGGCGCGAGAAAAATGTTACGGGTGCATTCTTTATGTGCTGACTGGCGTTTTAATATGTACGGCGTCGATCTTGTTTCAGGATCCGGGATCAAGGTGCCGATGGCCATTCTGAATTGCCTCTACGCCCGCCAATTGTGCTACGAGGATCCGTCGTGCAGCGCCATTTTGGAGATTATACCAAGAGTCTGCGGTCCGGAATTGGGTAAGTTAATAAGGTTACTTTTTCTTCGCGATTCCAAGTAATTAATTAATATGGAAGGAGAAGTGCCAATGTGAGCCACAAAAAGAACGGATCTCGGTTCTCACAACACGAAATAGAATTCTCTCTTTAATATAATATAAAACGTTTCGACCCTTCTTCGGGTCTTCCTCAGTTAGACTACAATGTAAGAGTCGGTTACCTCGTGTAACCCAGTATTCTAGGACAGAATCATCTCTCAAAATGTTAATCAGTCGGTCTCTATATTTTTCTATATTTGTATTACATAAGTATTAATGTACAACCATCTTATAATTCTTACATTGTAGTCTAACTGAGGAAGACCCGAAGAAGGGTCGAAACGTTTTATATTATATTAAAGAGAGAATTCTATTTCGTGTTGTGAGATCCGTTCTTTTTGTGGCTCACATTGGCACTTCTCCTTCCATATTTTTCTTTTGGGAGCCTTCACAATTTTGGAATAATTAATTAATGTTCCATCGCTCATATAGTTAATTGTTAATAACACTTTATTTATGCCGCGACCGTTTATGCTCGTCGCGGTTTTTAACATTTATTTCAATTCGAATTAATAATAGTTTAAATCAGGTGGTTGTGCATTATTATCATACATCTGATTAGGTCAAATATACAACTTTTACTTCTACTCACTACATTTTTATTTCGTGGAATAAAGCGCTTGATTTTATGTTCTAATTATTTAATGCCCAGTTTCTTATCCAATTAAAAAAACTATTTTACAGTTTACAATACACTTGCTTATAAGCTGTAATAACTTGTTTACGTAACAAATTCATATCGTCTCATTCTCGAATATTATTATGCAATTTTGTTTAAAATGATTGATTATTGAGGTTTATCAATCACAAATCCGTTTCCTTCAGTTATACACTGATGATCAGAGTTTATTCATATTTATGATCATTTCAACTGCCAAAAACTTAAATTGTTCAGTAAAGGTCACTGCTCTGTAGTTGCAAAGATTTAGTTTCCTTTCCATTCTCACTGCCGAGATTGATCCTTGCGACAGCTTTATCACGAAAAAACTTCATACAGATTTATTCCAATTATAAAATTAGATTTATTTTTCGTAAAGATCAACCGGTTGTACACAACGTGATTGCAGTATATTACAATATTAAATTAAGTACGAAAGCTTGGACGTGATGGCGAATATACGCAAATATTATTCGCTCGACAATTGAAAATAATCACGAGACGAAGGAGCAATCGAGAGCGTTTTACTTACGCGTATGTTTTCTATATGTATGCCATATATTACTCGCGCAGTTTATATTAGCAATAATTCACCCGGCGTGAATCGATAAGTCGATAAGCCTGCGCAAATATAAAAGTCGCGATCGGATGCGATCCATTCGTTTTGTAAAATAAAAAACTGTTGCGTTCGCTCTGCGTCCGCATTGTCCCTACCATTTTTATTTATATAATCCATTATTCATGCTCCGAACAAACATGGTGTCGGTTCTTACCAGACAAATGCAATATAGTTCGGCATAATTTGTCGTCGCAGTTTACAGGAAAATTCTGGCAACAGCCTCTATATAGGTCGTGCGATGCTGTTAGTCTCGCGGAATATATTATTCATACATTCTTGTAATAATCATGGGCCCTAATGGATCGCACATGATTCGTAAAATCTCATATTAGTCCATGTGAAATAAAAGGCGGCGTCGCGGGCGCGACAGCGTCACATTTGAAATTTTGCGACGTCGAGACGCCGCACCGCATTTCCATGAAATTTGCATACGGATTCCGAAATCCCGAGGAATTTCTTATGGAAACGATGATGACATTAATGTCTGAATTTGGAATTTCGTGTGAAAATACCACGGAACTCCTGGAAGTATCTTGCTGGCAGGTTTTGTAGTTCTTTTTATAGATGAATATTAATTTATAGAAATTATTTTAAATTTGTTTTCCATTGTCATTTTCGTGCATGAATACTCGGCGGTGCACTTCGTGTGATATTTATAAAGTAAATCTTTGTTAATTCTGTTGATGTAGGGATATTACCTCTCAAAATGTTATCTTCGTAACAATTGGGGCAATGTATCAAAATGTTATGCTAATATCTTTTACGTAACTTCGAGAATCCTGTACTTCCAAACTTGTCGGCTCTTTTTTTCCGTCGCATTCGCGACGCCACACATTTTCCTCGGAATGATTATGAATCATAATGGATACCGCGAGCGGCAGCCACGTATCGGACGTTGATAAATAAAAGGTATCGCTCGTCGCGCCGTTCTTGAAATAGAAGTAAAAGCCTCAGTAGGTTTTCCGAAGCTAAAAGCTTTCCGAAAGCAGTGCCATTTGTTTTACTTTCGCCCGGGCGATTACATGATAGATTATTCACGTAACTTCTTGGTATCAGAAAGGAGCGCGGAAGCCGCGGTATAAATCACAATGGACGGTGTCTTTGTTTTAAAAAGCCGCGTGCGCGCACTTCCACTATGTCGAACGAAATAAAATATATATAACGGCGTTCGTGCGCGCACTCGAGGGCGGGCTGCTTTTTAATGCAACACACGCCATTTTGCATTTTGCACATCGACGACGAGGTTCGCGAGGGCTTCGAGCGCGTTTCTTGCGACACGACAGCGGCATTCCGTTTGCGATTAAGAAATATACGGAAGAAAGTGCCGGCGAAGCTTCGTGACTGTGGTATTATTATTTACACGTAAATGCATTTTTATGCCGCGGTAATGATCCGAAAAATTAAGTCTACTTTCCAGTAAAGTTTCTTAAGTACTTGAGAAAACGTATTCGTTTCTACGTAATTTTACGTCAAATTTCATATTAATTTGCCTAAAAGAGTAATATTGGATTTTTTTATTTCCGTCAAAAATTCATCTCTTCCTGAAAACTCATAAGATATACCGATAGCCCTCAAGTACGCCAATCTTACCTATACGTCGGTATATCTCGAGACTTTCCTTTTACACAAAGAAGTTCCTTTCTCTCAGTTTCTCTCACACAATGTGCGTTTTATTAAAATTTAATTTTAATTTTAATTAAGTCTTGTACAAATAACACACGTAATAGAAACGCCTATATACTTGAACTTTTAGTGTCCAATAACGTCTTTTTGCGTATACATTTATCAACTATGTAAACTTACAATTAGCACCGGTAACTTTCGATCTTGAGTCTGAATTGAAGTCGAAATAATATAAATTAAACTCACGATCAATTTAATAATGATGTTAAAGAACATCTTTTAGAAATGGACTGTAAAAAAGTAAGTCGAATACATTCTTTGAAACCTTAAGTCAGAATTATAACTTCACGAATTTCAGCTCTCTCTCTCTCTCTCTCTCTCTCTCTCTCTCT